CTCGGTGTTTGAACCGGGCCATATAATAGGCCTTTTGCATGAAACGGTCAGATGGTACAAAATCCGCCGGTACTGGATGGCAAAAGAATGTAAACAACCTCAAAAAAAAAAGGAACGTAGCCCGTCAAGCTTGACTTTTCTTGTTTTGAAAATCCCAGTGGGTATTTTGCCATTCAGTATGGTGGATATTGTACTATGTGACCGTTTCATGCAAAAGTCCTATTGAATCCAGTGTTATACTTACAAAACCCTGACATTCTTCGGAGGTCGAAATTTAGCAGAAAGATGGTTGCAAACTATTTTTCTAAAAAGGAAAAATGTATCTAGGTTAAATGCTTGTTACTAATGTTGCARTTGTTTAATTTCCAATGATAGAAACAGTCGTGGACAAAAATTCTGACCACTGATATATATCATTGGCGTTGCATCATGGGTACTGTTTTGTTAATTTCGCTCTTTTCTCTCGCCAAAAAAAAATTCGGGCTTCCACGGGAATCATGGCTCAGTTGGTAGTGCACTGCACCGGCTTCRCAGAGATCATGGCTTCGATTCCCGTTTTTGAAGCCTGAAATTTTTTCGGCCGATCCATACATTTATTAATAATTACCGCTAAGATTATTATCTAAGCTGCGACGATCATATTCATTACACATTCATTCACCGCAGTTAAAACCATTACTTCATAACTTGTATGGATGGGTTCACCCAATAAAAATACCGCTCACCAGGCTTCATAGCTCAGTTGGTGGAGCACTGCAAAGGTATTGCAGAGGTCAGTTACAGTCAGAAAACATGGAGCACGCCCCCCCCCCCCCCCCCAAAAAAAAAAAAACAACATCAAAGTATTATTCAATTTAGTATTCGATTTTTGGTCGATTCAACATTGCATTATTTTAAAATCATATTTAAATTTAATTGGATCATAGTGATCGGATTTTCATAAAGGTTTCTTCGTATTTCTCTGACAAAAATGCTGGGATTTTGCAATTTCCACAAATCGATGCATTATTATTATTCACACTGCGACAATCATATTCATTAGACATTTATTCACCGCAGTTCGAATCACTACTTCATATAAGACAGAATTGCTTCGAAATACTGCAACTAAAACTTACAAAACAAACATGGAGGTATGATTAAGGAAGTAATCCTTTGGTACTTGTTGAATTGATCCTTGAGTTATTTCCCTGAAAAGACGAATACCAAATGAAGAATACATTAATAATGTAATTTACGTATCACCCTCAATGCCAGTACATTGATACAAGTGATAGAGTCTGAAGGCGACTGCATCCACAGCCACTGATATCTCAGTGACGGAGCACAGATCATATTTAAACTGGTTCGACGTTTTTACTGGGAAAGGAAAAACTCAAATACAAAAAATAATCAATAAAATAAAATAAAAATTCAACAAATCCAAGCTATATTTCATGACCTGTATTGGAATCAATCTGGAAATCTCAACGCACGACGACCTTTACTTACCATTGTTACTCCGTATATTTTTTGAGATGCTTAATTTTTTTCGATCTGATCTCGTTACTATGTTTCTCTCCTTATTAGTCCGTGCGAGTCTGACTCTTTTTTTAAAGACTTAATTGACGAGGCGCGATTACAAATACGCCAGCAAGAGCTCGTGAGTAGTCCGAATCTTGCACAAGGGGCTAAAAGGAACTCTAATTTCTCTTTGCACTTGTAAATCTAACGCAAACCACAAAGTGTATAACCGTACACAAAGAAACTCAATTTATCGCACAACATTGTTTCTGTTCAAGTTTGGAGTCGATGTTTTATCGTTTTACGCACCTTACCTAAACACTGGCAGCTTTGTCCACCAACAATTAAAGAAACAGGCCATGAAAAAGCAGAAACACTGACGTTAAAACGCATAGAAACAATGTCTCTCGATTAGTAAGTTTTGCGGTTTGTTTGCCTTTTTTCTCGTATTTTTTCGGGGCTTGTCTGTCCCTTAAGCGATGAATAGTTGTTATGCAAATACTTACAAGTGAGTGACGGTTAAAGAAAGCTTCCTAGGCATGGCATCGAGGCCGGAACAAAGAACTTGACATAGTTTCCCTCGGCAATATGTACATGAGCACGTGCCAACTCGAGGCTGAGGACAGTCGTCTGTACCATTATGAGATGTAGAGATCCTTTTATCTTGCGCGTGATTGAATGTTATTTCAAGAATACAAGTAATCGTCATTAAGGCAAAGAAAGCTATGCTTCTTTTCATCTTATTCCTGAGATGTGAATAAAAACAAGTAATTTAGGTCGCTGTTTGCTTTAGGAATGCTTGTCTAATGATAAGGCTATTGCGCGCGCTCATGCAAATGACTGAATAAATTATGTTGAAACAAACAGGGGGCAGCCCTATCTTCTCTTTGAATTTGAAGTGAGTATTAAATTTATTTTCTTTAGATTGAAATAGTTTAGTTTAAAAGATGCGACATAAGGGTACGTTGTTGAATCGTTCAGTTTTATTGTAGTGGTGGTGAGGAGGTTTCCTTTGCAGACTGCCCTTTTTATCTTTAGGGTGTCTTGGGTAGTCTGCGAAGGAGACTAGGGGAAAGGCCAGAGGTGAGAGGAATCTAATCCAGTCAAGTATAACCATACATAAGTTCTGGATTTAACTGAGTGTTCTTTAGTAGATAATTACTGAGGCACAGCCCGAAGCTGCCTGCATTATACCTACGAATGCTGTATGCCGAAGTAATTATCTANTTTAGTAATTATTTCTATATATTTCTATAATGTGATATTTTAAAGCGCGCTTTCATTGGCTTTTCTTCATTAAACGCCAGGTTTTCACAGCGCGGCGATTTCGCAACCGAGAATCAATTTTTAAACAGAGTGGCCGAGTTATGTTTTCTATTCGTACGGACATTGTATATATTCTGAAATTTTCTGTAATTAGATAAGATATCGATTTTAAAATACTATAATTAGTTATAAAAGGTTTTTTCTTTCTTAGATAGTATTTTTGGGATTTGTTTTGTACATTTTAAAACTCCCACTCATTTAGTGCCTGCGTCACGCTAAGTGTGACAAGAAACTAAATCTGCTCGACTTTAAAATACTATAATTTTGTTTAGAGTCAAATAATAATAGAAATACGCTGCAAACTTCCTGATTTTACCATGCACATTTAGCCCGGCATAGAATACATCATCGCGAAAAGCGACTTATGAAATTTCGTAAACTCCGATGTCAGACACGGAATGCAGCAATGTCACTACTATGTTCTCAATACCTGCTAACACTTTTTGGATTTTTCTTGTGTATGAATTTATTATTAATCATTTTTTCGTGGAAATAGTCGCATTTCGGCTTATTTGAAAGGGAAAATCCATGTGTGTAAGAAAAACGTCACGCAGTCTATTCATACGAAAATTAGAAATGAAAAAGAAAAAGTAATGAAAAACGTAATTCAAAAATTTCTTAATCTAGTTAACCGTGATTCGAAAAAATTAGTCGTGAGTCGTGAAATCGCCAAATTTTTAGCCGTGAGTCGTGATGCGTACCACCCCATTGAGACCCTCTATTAATCTCCAAGGGGATTAAAAATCTGAATAACAATGAAAATGCGCAAGTCTCTCGTAGTTGTAGTAAAGTTACGTCATAATGCAAACGGGCTATAAGCGACATGGATTAGACTGTTTTTCATTGGACCAGTAACACATTTATTTTTGGGGCGGAGACCGGTAAGCATGGGCCAAGGGGGTTTCCCTAGGCGTTGCATCCGGCCTTTTTATTGTTGTATATACTCTTATATCTCTTGCTTAAGGTGCCTATGACGCATGACACAATATTTGCTAGTTCTCTGTGAACTGATTCTATATAATATAAAATAAATAATTGAATGTTGAAATATTCCTGCTTTTCAGTGTTGCGTCTTTGAGTTTTGTGCTGTTTTATCTTTAATACAAATATGCTAATGAAAAAATGTTATGAAAGCCGTCTGCGAATATGGTTATTCCCTAAAAATTACCTAAGATAAATTTAATGCTATTAAACCATTATTATTAGACTCCTTCAATTATTTACTTTTATATAGAATCGGATATAAATTTTGAGTGGAATTAATAATAATAATAATAATAATAATAATAATAATAATAATAATAATAATAATAATAATAATAATAATAATAATAATAATAATAATAATAATAAATAATAGCGCGCGCTCGACCTGTGAAGATCGGCCTCTGTGAGCTCTCTAAACTGCCTCGTATTTTAGT